TTTATTTGTAGACGTTGTCTAGAGGGGTGGGGTAAAAATCGAATAAATAAATAAATAAATAATTTGTATTTATTTACTTCACTAGCTAGCCTCACAATTCAGACAAGGGATGCGGAGCAGAATTTGGCAACTTGGAGGACGGTTCTGTCATTTTTCAGGCTATGTACAATTTTTGTGCAGTTTGCATCCTGATCTACTCCAACATTGAGCTAATATTGTGCTAGTGTTAAATGTCTTTCATGCCCTTCTACTCCACCTCCAATGGTTTGTACTTCCTGAAAACCTGCTCTAGAAGGTTTTCTGCATCTGGATTCGAAGATTCAGGAGGAAGAGGAAGTCAGTCCTTCTGGATCTGTTGAGAAATGCCGCCTTGCCGTTGGAAAAACCCTATTGAATCCTGACCTGTATTTGTAACCTTGCAAGAAAAGGAACAATAAAGAGAAAACAAAACACTTTAAATTGGGAAACATATGCCACAGTTAGATGATCGTAATGGATTGTGTGTGGATTATTCTGTAGTCAGAGCACATTTTGGTTTATTCTGAGGATCAGACTTGAAGTTTCATGTTCATTAACCCATACGTTGTGTGACCTACAAGGCTGTTGTTTTGTACTCTTCTATTTTAAGTATTGGAGCAATGTAGGAAAACAGACATTGTAAGAATGAATTGGTATTTGTCAAAGTGACCTGTGACCTGTTCAAAAGGTGAATTGTCACTTCTGGCGGCTTATAGGAGTAGCAATACATTGTTTTTTTTCCTCCTAGAAGAGGTAATTCTCTTGGTGGACAGTATGGGGGGGCCAGGGGGGAGGTGAGCACAGACTGCAGAAACAGCTGTGGGGGACTCACTTTGCCCACCACTCTGCTATTTAGTGAAAATAATTAAAAATATTTTTGCATTTGGTATCGAGCATCTAGAACAAGTAGTTATATGATAAACAACAACAATGACATATTCTAATAACATCATCCAGCATCACTAAGCCCTGTTCAGTATGATGCAAATGGAGTTTTGCTCATACACTTGACATTTCACTGCCCTGCCCTCTCCCCTGTAATCCCCCCTTTGGTCCCATGACCTCTGGAGCCCATTTGAAAGAACATGCAAAGAAATGTAGAGGAACGTGGGGTCCAGTTCATTCATGGTTTAGATATAACTGGATGTAACCTCTAATTCCCTTCTCCCTTATCACGTATTTTAACTCGAACATGTTATTTTTATCTGCTCCCACCTGCTCAGTTGCTTCCACTAGAAAAAAAATATTCAAATAGTTTCCCCACCTCAGATTGAAAATGTTATTGTGGATGGGTGATTCCAGACTTATTTATTTATTTGTTCGACGTGTATGCTGCCCGCACTCTGCAAGAGTCTCTGGGCAGCTTCCAACATCAGTTAAAACTGTTCAGTCAAAAACAAACACTAAAAACCAATCTACTTTGCCTTCATCCCATTTGTAAGCCTATTTCAGTTGGTCAGAAGTTTATTGTTTATGGCCATAGGCCTTTATAATGTGCAATGTATGATAAAAAGAAAATCCAAGTTTTAAAAACATACATTTTAGAACTACATTTTTAAAAATGTGCCCTTTGAGCAGCTCCAACTAACCTACGGACCATTAAATTAAATGGCATTATGGTCCTTGAGAAAACCAGACCTCATCTTTTTGGCAGCCAATGCAAATAGTGCTACAGCCTATGTAATGAAGGGCTGATTGTCAATAGGCAATCTTAATAAAGTGGTGCCTCGCAAGACGGTTTTAATTCGTTCCTTGAAAATTGTCGTCTTGTGAAAAAATCTTCTTGCGAGGTTCCCTATGTATCGGTCTAAAAAAGAAATCTTGCGAAGCATCCGTCTTAAAATTTTTTTTTGTGAAGTACGGTCATAGAAAAAAAGTCTTGCGAGGCACCATAGTGATCACAAAAACTAATCGTCTTGCGGGTTTTTCGTCCCGCAAGGCAATCGTCTAGCGAGGCACCACTGTATTAGTTTCTTTGGTGTGGAATTAGGGTACAGCTGGATAATAAGTTATAAAAATCTTTCTCTGGGGTCCTTATAGAGGGGGCAGAACAATAAAGAGTGGATTATATCTTCTGTCTAGTTGCAGCTGAATAACATTTGTATTCTGCAACTGGAATTCTTTTGTATCTCACTTTGAGATACGCAGAGGGCATCTGCTGAAATCTAAGTTTAGTGAAGGCTCTACAAAATTGTAGGAGAGACAGTGCCTCAAAATAGTGTGGCCTTTTATGATTGAACTGAAATTGGGGAAACCAGCTAGAGAATCAGGACCCAAAAATTGTGGCTCTGTCTTAGGAAGCCTCAAAGTCAAGGACCCAGTTCCTCAACATGTTAGTGTTAAAACAGAGGGACGTTTTATAGTGAAACAGTAGACCTTCATAGTATCATGGCACTGCTTCACCCATCCTCCAGCTTGCAGTTGCTCCAGCTAGCAGCACTTGGTCAGCTATTGGTCCTCCAGATCATGTAGTCTGAGCCAATACCTAAGACAAACCAAGTCATTTCTGGCAGCAATTGAAGGAAGACCCAGCTCTGCTCCAAGGTGAGCTGGAGGGATCCCCCAGGGAAGCCCCAGTACCTGTCTCATTAGTTTGTTCTGTGTGATTTCCAGTTTGGGCTTGGTTCCCTCTCCCCATATTTCTGCCCCATAGAGCATATGAGCCAAAAGATTTTGTGACAGATATTTTAAGGACAGGATTTACTAACTGTCCTTCCACTCTCTCTTCTCATCCTAATGTGATTGATTTTCCCTAACTAATAGGTGGGCAAAAGGTGGTCTGTGAACTGCATATATCCCAAGCCTGCTATGCATCCCTCTAACCCTGATATACTCGCTCATCTCCTTTTTTTCCTGTGTTTTTTTTTAACAGGCGTTTTCTGCTCCTGGAAATGTATCAGTAAAGTAGAGCCTACAGTGAGTTATTGCCGCTTAGGCTCTGAAATTCCTATTCCTGCCCTAATGACTAACTACCTGTCTTTGCCCAGATGCCCCCTTGAGTTTCTGCACTGGCAAACTCCACTTGATGCTACTAATCCTTCCTTCCTTCTTTTTTCTCAGTATCTTGCCTAGTCTGTTTATATACAAACTCTGATGCTACCATTACAGAAGACATAATTTAATGAAAAATCCTTAACATTGAGTGCTATATTTCGACTGAGAACTTTTAGCCATAAATAGGTTTTACAAAGTTCTCAGCAGATTTAGGGAGTTTGAGTGAATTTCCCTATAATGTTGCCAGTTAGCACAGGGATGTTCTTCCTGGCATTTTATGTAGTATATGGTATGCATTAATTAACAAAGTTTGTCTGGATCCAAGTCTTTAGCATTTTAAGCTGAATTCTCTTGTATTTATGTGTGCGTGTCTGTTTTGTTTCTTTTTACAGGATTGCCCTGGGCTTTTCCAGGATGGGTTGGAAGAGGTGAAAACTGGCCCTATGCTCATCCGGATGTCACTGCTTATTATATTGTCACCTGGATTATAGGTGCTAAAAAATTCCATGATTTGGACATTGACTACATTGGGGTTAGTAAAGGAGTTTGTCTTAAAATGTTTGCTGTTATGCTCTGAGTACTACTTTGTGTTTGAGATCTCTAGATTTATCTGACACAAGCTCACTTCCGAGTTTTTTTTTTAATCCCTGTTTCTTTGCATGATGCATTGCATTTGCTGTGGGGTGCTCACAAGTCAGAGAAATGAAGCAAATTCAAAAAACCCCAGTTCTGACAGTACTGGGATAAGACCTTTGCCCACTTCACCTGCAGTGCTTTTTGTACATCAGCCCTCTAGCAATTAATTAATTAATTAATTAATTAAATGTCTATACATACTGCACCATCTAGTGGCAAGCCACTACTCTGGTCTGCTTCTAGCAATACAAATAAACATAAAGAAAACAACTATCCTCCATCTAACCCACTAAATATAAAAATATAAAAGGAAGGCAAAACTCCTACCGTGTTTCCCCGAAAATAAAACAGGGTCTTATATTATTTTTTGTTCCAAAAATGCATTAGGGCTTATTTTCAGGGGGTGTTTTATTCTTTTCACGGTACAACAATCTTTGTTGTTGTTTAGTTGTTAAGTCATGTCCGATTCTTCATGACCCCTTAGACCAGAGGCCGCCAGGCCCTCCTGTCTTCCACTGCCTCCCGGAGTGGGACCACAAGTTGTATATCACCTTCAAGGGCAACTCCATATACAAGAGTATTGGAATAGCCAATCCTCAAGATTACCAGTGTGTGGTGTTATCAGGGGACTTCTTGCCTAGGTTAGGGACATAGTTGTGCAAACTGTCTTAGGTGGAAAAAGGCAGACCTGGCCATGGCTAAGATTTGTTTCTCTGTTGAGAGGGCTGGGTCCAGAAGCGCACACAAATTGTGAACCTGATCTTTCAGGGGGAATGTAATCCCATATAGAGCAGGCCGAATACCTCTTGGACTATCAGGATCCTCTTCTAACAAGCAGATCTCTGTCTTGTCAGGATTCAATCAGCCTGTTCATCCCTGTCCAGTCATAACTGTAGCCAGGCAGTGCTCTAGGGTCTAGACAGTTTTCCCTACTGAAGAAGAAAAGGAGAGAGAGAACTGTGTGTCATCAGCATAGAATCATAGAAAAGTGAAGTTGGACGGGACCTACAAGGCCATCAAGCCCAACTTCCTGCTCAGTGCCGGAATACAATCAAAGCATATCTGCCAGGTGATTATCTAAGTTTTTCTTGAATGCCTCCAACATATTGATAACAGTGCACTTGAAACCTCCGGATGACAGTGGCCTCATATAGATGTTAAACAGCATTGAGGTGATGATCGACACCTGTAGGACTCCACATTGTAGAATCCATGGGACTGAAACAGCCTCCCCAAATTGTACCATCTGGAACCAACCCTTAAGGAAAGACTGGAGCCAGCCTAGCACTAGCCCCTGATCCCTAATTTCACTAGCCACTGCTGGGAGAAAGGTAGCATAAATAGATAAATAAGGTAGCATAAATAGATAAATAAACATTTAGTCTGGCCTGATGAATCAGATATTTTATTACATAGGCAACATCACAACACTTCTGTGTTTTTTTTGTGCTTTTTTAAAGATCTGGAATGAGCGCTCTTTCGACAGCAAATATATCAAGGTAGGTCAAATGACAATATTTACTTAATTATTGTAATGGAATGATGAAGTTGTCATGGATGACAGTGTTAACGCTACCAGCAAAGCAGCTAAATCCCTGCGTAGAACCTGCATGGCTTGGGATCTACTAAATGTGTGCTAGCGTTCCTACTGATTTATATTGGCTTGTTTTTCATGCTATAGACACCTTTCAGTCCATCTCTGTCATCAGTGTTACGTGTCACAAAATGAGGACTAAATGCAAAATAAATAAGATGCTGTGACTCTGGAGTTTATATACCATACTTGATTTTATTTTTAAGATAGATAACAGTCTATATAATTAAAGAACCTGAAAGCCAGAAGTTTACTGTAAATTGAATCCCACCAGCTTCTATATGGCTGGTTGGATAATTCAGTGTGCTGGGTTCCTGGTGATGGAGGATTGGGAGTTCAGTTCCCCAGTGCATCTTATAGGGGAAAAGACAGCCTGTGTAGCTTGGGGGAAGTTGCTCAGCCCCAGGATGCCCCTAGAAGAAGGGAATGGTAGATCACATCTGAGTACTTCACCTAGAAGGGCCTGAAAGAGGTCACCATGTCAGAATTCATTTATACATGTAATTATTGAAGTTCTGTATGCTTGGCTTCCAAATGAATTTGCACAGAACTACAGCCTTAAACGTCAAGGGTTTCTTCATTCAGCATATCATAAGGATCAGTTCTGTCTCCTGAAAAAAAGGGATTAGCATCATTGCCTGGCCTGTTTCCTTTTTTTGGGAGTTGATAGTTGACAAAGCTTCATAAGGGTGTGTGTGTCATTCATTACTTCCTGGGAGGGCAGCTGAGGGGTACTTTAGGTAAAGGTAAAGATTCGCCTTGACAAATTGTCTAGTCGTGTCCGACTCTAGGGTGCAGTGCTCATCCCGGTTTCCAGGCCGTAGAGCCAGTGTTTGACCATAGACAGTTTCTGTGGTCACGTGGCCACCGCGACTAGACATAGAACACCATTACCTTCCCACCGTAGTGGTACCTATTTATCTACTCACATTTTTACATGCTTTAGAACTGCTAGGTTGGCAGGAGCTGGGACAAGCGATGGGAGCTCACTCCGTCATGTCGATTTGAACTGCTGATCTTCCGACCTTGCAGCCCAGAGGCTTTGCAGTTTAACCGTCAACGCCATCACATCCCCTGCAGATACTTTACACATCCCTTTTTGTGGTTGAAGTAAGAAGCCCAGGGGCAGGGACCTTTCATGAGTATTAGCTGACCATATTGCTGTGGTTGCTCACCCTTAGGCCCTAGGAGTCAGAATGGAACATTCCAGGGATGTATTGGAAGTGGTCATGAGCCTGTAGGATCCTAAGCCCCTTCGGTCCCTTAACTCACCTTACAATATTATAACAGATGTGCACCTAATGTTAGTTTTCTCCCTCTGGCTTTAATAAGGATTAAAAACCAAACAGGTCCTTTCAGACATGAGAAGCCACCTCTCTGGTGAGCTACCAAGATAGTGGATTCAGAAGCACCATGCAACTATACCCTCATACGATTGCTTTGCCTAACAGGTTTGATTGATGAGAATGCATTGGAAACAGCCACAATGTAGACATGGTTAATTAAAATGGAAGGGATATTGTTAGGTTATGAGCCGGTATAGCTAGTGTGTAGGAGCACTAGATTGCAGAGCCTGCGGCAAGGAGTTTAAATCCCTAATTTAGGAAAAGGGGCCAGCCAAGATCAGCTGGAGTGTGCGTGTCTGATGAGGTTATGCTCTCTACCACCTAGGATTGTGCTGCTTGCAACTAGAAAGAGGAACTGGTAAATCACTTCTGAGTACTGTATGTCTAGAAAACCCTGGGAGGATTACCATAAATTGGAATTGATTTGATGGCACATAGATGATTTTATTTTTGTTGTTGGTTAGAGGTTACAGCTTACTGGTGGTAGTTTAATTCCTTTTTTCCAATTGTGTATTCACTGCTTTTTTAGTGTGATAACCAGGAGATAAAAATCTTCAAAGCTCTTCCTGTCTCTGAAGCTGTTCCCCATTATTAGTCTGAGTTGCATGTGCAGTAATCTTATCTGTGTGCATATTATTTCTGTGGTTTGTTTTCTACTGTAAATTAATATCTTTAGTTCCAAATCAGCCTTTTCCAAATTTCATTAGATGTTCATTACATCTGCCAGCATGACTGATGTTATCTAAAAATCTATTTCATAGTGCTTGATGAGATGCTTGGAAGTTTGCAAGTGTTGGGAACATCATCCTAGCATTGCATCAGTATTACGCAAGTACATTTGTTTATAATGTTGCCCCAGTATTGTTGAGTCTTCAAAATTATTCATAGAGAACCATTTGTCCTGTGCTTCTTCATTTATACAGTGGTGCCTCACAAGACGATTGCCTTGTGGGATGATTAATCCACAACACGATGGGTTTTTGCTCTCGCTGTTGTGCTTCACAAAACGGTTTTTCCTATAGGCGATTTCTGCTAGACGATGTTTGGGTCCGTGCTTCGCAAGACTTTTTTTTTAGACCAATGCTTCGCAAGACGGTTCCCCCCCCCCAAGGGAACGCATTAAATAGATTTCAATGCATTCCAATGGGGGACCGCGTTTCGCAAGACAATGTTTCCTATGGACGATTTTCGCAAGCTGACAATTTGCCCCCCGTTGGAATGCATTAAATAGATTTCAATGCATTCCAGTGGGGAACTGCGTTTCGCAAGTCTATGTTTTTGCAAGACAGCGATTTTCACAGAACGAATTAACATCGTCTTGCGAGGCACCACTGTAATTGGTCAGTGGATAAAGAAATCAATACTTTAGTCCACATCTCTCCAAGCAGATAAGTTCACATATCCACACCACACAAAAGTAAAAATTATGCATGTTATTTAAAACTCTACACATTTAATTGCTTTTGACAGTATGATCTAATGGACATTGAACTGAAGGAAGCTACTGTCAAACCTGACAATCCTGGCTGAAATTATGTTGAATTATGGTATAGTAAAAAATCCTGCTAGCATAGTAATATGGCAGTGTTCCATATGTTGTTGCACAAGTGATGACTGGCATTAAGAAAATTGCTTCCGTTTGTGCAGTGAGGTTACTGAATGCTTTGGTGACTAAGTGGCAGAAATGTCAACCCACTCATGCTAAAACCATTGTGCAGAGTGATTTAATACAGTAGGATCTTGCCCATATTCCCCAGTAGTGTGGGTAATCTAAATATTAGAGCAACAGTTCCTAAACTTGGGTCCCCAGATGTTCTTGGATTAAAACCCCCAGAAGTCTTCACTACTAGCTGTGCTGGGCAGGATTTCTGGAGGTTGTAGTCCAAGAACATCTGGGGACCCAAGGTTAAGAAGCACTGCAGGACTGTAAGTTATGGTTATTTTGTAGCTAGCAAGACTGTAAGTTATGGTTATTTTGTAGCTAGAGCTTTTATGGCTGGCTTTAGTTTTAATAGTCCTATTTTTCTAAACCCTGATTTATTGCTTGTCCTCTCTACATGTTTGGCTTGAGCAGATTTCTTGGTTTCTTTCAAATACAGTTCCCTGCGATACTTGAACCAAGGAATCGTGACAAGATTCTGTTTCCTTGTCCTGGTTTACAATTAGCATGGAAAGCACCATTTCCTGAAACATTAGTTTAGGAGGCTTGGAAAGAAGAAAGAAGAAGAAGAAAGAAGGACAGTGGTTAGGAATAAGCCTTTTCTCTCTCTCAGCCATTATTGAACTGGAGTTGTCTTTGAATCATGCTGCTATTTTTAGAGTCCAGAGGACATATGCTGATCAGCGTGTAATGGCATTTCATGAATTTTGGATTAATTGGCAGACAAATACATTCAGAAGTTAACTTCTGTAGTCACAGGGTATAGATTTTCACCTTTGAGAACACTGAATTTTATCTGCTTGCTTACATGGCCAACATAAAAGATGACTTCTTTAATTAATTTATTTATTTACATTATTTTTTAGCCGCACCATTACCAGTGGCTTCTGGGCGGTGTACAACAATATTAAAACTTAAAAACATTAAAAATATATAAAATATCCTATTTTAAAACAATTCTTAAAACATTATTATTAATAAGTCCTGCTGCTCATGTGGCCAGCTAGAGAATATTGTTTAATTAAAATGCTGGCTAAACAGAAAGGTCTTAGCTTGGCGCCGAAAAGCCAAAAGCGTTGGAGCCAGGCGGATTTCTATAGGGAGGGCATTCCAAAGTTGGGGGGCAACAGCCGAGAAGGCCCTATTTTGACATGCCATCCCCCTCACCTTTTCAGGGATGGGACCTTCAGAAGGGGATCTTAGAGGACGGGCAGGCTCATATGGAAGAAGGCGGTCCTTTAGATATCCAGGTCCTAAGCCGTTTAGGGCTTTATATGTCAAAGTAAGCACTTTGAATTGGGCCAGTGTAAATTTTCCAGAATCGGCGTGACATGAGCCCTAGCCAGTAATTTATCTGTAATGTCTATATGCTACTTCTCAGTTGTAACTTAAACTGTTTGATATGTTTTAAGATACTTCACTGCAAAGGCCAGTGTCTATAACTAATGCTACATAAGCAATTGTGTTATTTGGTAAGGTGTCTTTTGCACAATTGCTGTGGAAATGGTTACATAATTAGTGGTGTAATAGACCTCACTAAATGGTGAAAATGCTTGCACATTGACAGACTATTGGCCCAAACTGTGTTCCTGTAGTGAAAATGCTCGCACATTGTTAATTGGGTACAGAAATCCCGAACAGACTATTGGCCCAAACTGTGTTCCTGTTGTATTGCAAAATTATGCTAAAATGCATATACATGTGTATGTACATACATGTACCCAACAGTAAACTGTGTAGCACTTTGCTCAATTCTCTAGGTTTTAAAATATATTAGGAGGGCTGTCATTAGTTTTGTTGTTGTTTAGTCGTTTCCGACTCAGTTAGAACTGCCTCTTCAACTTGGATCAATGTTCAGAGGGCTTATTCCTAGGTGTTTATAGGATGGTATGTACTTAC